TGGTACTGTACTATGATAACTATTGCCATCATTGATATGGCTGAGCTCCCCAACCAAGACTTTATCAACAGGGTTCATCATTTGTGTATGAAGAACTTATGCTTGATGTACTGTTTTTAATATGCCCAATGGAAACTATACCATATACTGTACTTGTCAACAAACAGATGGACAGTACCATGACTGTACCCATGCCAATTTCTCTGGCTGGGAAATAATAGTTAAATTTCCTAACCAAGTTTGAAACACACACTTAATAATTTAGACTAATACTTATACAGTACATTACATGTTTAAGCTATTGATAAAGTTATAGCAACGTGAAGAGACTAAATGAGGAAATATGTGTAAACCCTTAGTTTTCTGTGTAGATCTTAGCACACAGGAGGACAGTCACACCTGCCACACCACACCATGTACACAAGTGTATTGAATCATATTGAATTTGGTCATTTATAAAAAATAAATTACTGTAATATACTGTAAATGTAATTCCATCCTTTAACTTGCACTATAAAACAAAGCTAGTGCATACTTTTTTGTATGAATTATTCATTATTATACAGTATGTACTTATCAAGAAGAGTAATTAGAGTACTCTACTATATTTACCTGGCAGAAGGCTTGAATGTACACCCAATCAAAGATGACAAATCAGCCTGTAAAGTCATAATAGTGAACAGTTGCTTTAAATATTTTCCATTAAGCTTTATAGGTTGTGCATCAAATATATGAGTGTACACAATCTACATTTGTCTGTGTACAGTAAACCTTTGACCAATTATTTGATTTTTATTGTAAATAAGTCATATCGCTTTTAATACCAATATTTCAACCACAGGATTCAACCATATAGCATACAGTACGTATATGTAGTCACTTATAATCTGCATTAAAAAAATTTCCAAAACCTTAATGCGTTTCACTAAAATCCTTACATTATCACATTAATTACTCATTAATTCTTCCATTATTGGTTCAAATCCACTTCTTATATGCAAGACATCACTGAACTCTTCATTAATTTCATTCATTTGATTGCTCACAGTGCTATTCAGAAAAGATACTGGTCATTATTAACTATAGTGGGGTTTTCAAACTATGTTTCACTTAGTTATGCAGGCAAGAAATGACATCATAAATGATGACATAGATCACAAATGATTCAAAATCATTTTGAAGCCATTGAGTGACAAGTTATCGTCCACACCACAATTTTAAATTATTTATGTTATACATAATAGGTATGCATGTAGTGTACAGTACTTCAACTTCACTTTGTAGTGTGCTGTCCTAGAATACATTTCAGGGTGTGATATACAGATTCTGTATCGTAATTTAGCTATGTAGTGTCATAAAGAAGGAGTTATATATATATATATATATATATATATATATATATATATATATATATATATATATATATATATATATATATATATATATATATATATATATATATATATATATATATATATATATATATACACAATCAACACCTCAACCCGCCAGGATTCGAGGCCCAAGAAGTTTGAAAAATTTACGTAATATATTACAATTTAAAATATTTCCTCTATTACTTATTAAGTGATAGGTAGATAGGCAGCTACCAAACAGGGAGGTAGGTACTACCGCCTGGGAAGATATTGGAAGCATAATGTGTTGTCTAATGGTAGACCCTGCTGCCATATGGAATCAAAAAAATTGTGACCAAGTCCCAGGTTGCTGATCTGTCTTTCTGCCTCATCTACACACAATTGCAGGGTCTCAATTGTTTCTCTTACTTGGACAACACAACATATATAATGTATATAATTTCTCAGTCTTGATTTATTTTTTCGATTTTGTATTTACAGTATTTATGGTTATTTTTCTTATTTTATTTTTGTTTTTTATTAATTTGCTATTAATTTTATTAATTGTTGTAATAATGATAATGGTAATGGTAGTAATAATAATAATAGATATATTATTATTATTATTATTATTATTATAATTATTATTTGTCATTATATTTTTGCCCCCCCAGGCCCTGATGTGGGTCATTACCTGTGCCCGGGTGGGCTAATCTTTGTAAAGTTATCTTTGAAGAAAGGGATTTTTCTCTTCTTAATAATGACATATTTGGCATAAATGGGGTGAATTAAATGCCTAAAACCTTATTAAGCTCCAAAGCACATCATTTACCATACAGAAAGTTTTCTGTGAGTAGCATCAACCTTTAACTCCTATCCCAGCAGCTGTTCTGCCCACCTCTTGCTCATTTTGATTGCTAATTAATCCTTTCACTACGGTGTCTTTTCATCTATTTTATTCTGGCTACCACCAGACAATTTTATTCAGCCGGGGAAGTTCCATCTCGTAGTCAAAAGGTTACACAAAACTTCGCTGCTTCTACAAGGTGAGGAAATCCCGTCTGTATTGTCAGTGTTATTCTGCATTGTAATCTCTCCCAATTGAGATACTAGACACTTCCCTACTCACCTCCAGTAACCAACCCCCTCCCCAGACAATTACCCCGACACACTCCTGGTAAATGCACAGGAGTGGAGCCAACTGTACAACAATTAGTGTTATACTGATGTCTTGGAAAATAATATATTTGATACCACTTTCAAACATTGTAAAAATTTTGATAATGTTTTCTAGAAAATGTGATACACAAGGGAAGGGTTCAAGGTCACAAATAGGGTCACAGTGAACAGGTCATGTTACCTGTAAATATTGTACTGTAGAGTACAGTATTATGATTTTGGACCAATAACTCCTGGTTTCATTAATGATGTATTGTACAGTACTGTATAATAACTGGCAGTGCAGACATGCAATTATGGATATATCAAAACCATGAACTTAGAAATTGTAGAAATTTAAAGTTTACTGTGTGTGTGTGTGTGCATGTATTTTCAAGTCTTTTCCCAGTTAATGCAGGGGAGCTGGAATAGAGAGAAAAAGACACACAAATGCAAATTTCACTTCAATTCATGTCAACCAATCATTCTTTCTGCTAAAAATAAAAAGCCGTTTCAATAATTCACTTACAAAAACCCTCTAAATCTGGTTTGACCCTGCTGCTTCACACAGACCAGCACGTCATTCTCAAAAAAGAATAACACTAGATGCCATGTTTTCCACGTATATTTGCACACTGTTTTTCTCTGGACATCCAATCCCCTTACTTCTAGTGTATCCTTTGCCATATTCTCCCATCTCCTTCTTTGTCTTACCCTCTGTCTCCCCTATCCTCTACTTCTGATTTATAGTAATTTTACCAATCATTTACTTTCTATTCTCTTTAGATGTCCATACCACCTGAGAAGACCATTGTGTTCTCTTTGCTTGACAGTTCCTATTCTCTGCACTCTATTGACTACCCATGGTGCTCTCAAATAGGAAGAAGAAAAAGAAGAACAGTAAGAAGAATCATTAAGATAAAAATAAAAACAAGAAACAGTAAGAAGAATATGAAGGAGAAAAAGAAAAGAAGCAGTAATAAGTAGTTGATGATTATAAAGAAACAGTAAAAAGAAGAAACAGGAAGATGATGAAAGAGAAGAGGTAGACCTGCTTAGGAAGTTGCTGCTAGCTTGAGAGACTTTAATCCCCCCTCCCCAGATATTTCTTGCTAAGTAGGGGTGCATTTTCAAGGCCCCCTCATTTTTTTTTCTTGAAATTGAAATCTATAGCGAATATAAGTGGTACATCATGGAGCACTCTGGCTCAACATGAATGTTTAATATGGTGGTAAACAGAGCCTGCAGTCTTTCACCAGCATTTCATATACTGTACTGTACATATACAGTATTAAATGTACACTTTTATGCCTATATTGTACTGTAAATATGTATTAATGTTTGTTTTATAAAAAAGAGAGAACCGGTATAACACACCTTACTGACTGAACTACACTAATTCAATGTTGTTGTTGTACATCCAGATGGTATACAAAGACAGGCTCAGACTGGAAGACAGTACAGTATTACACCTAAACTTCAAAGCTGAGGAAATTTGTATATGTACAGGGTATTTATACCATCAGGAAATGTTAGTAATGACTTAGTCATAATTGGCACCACTTTAACGATGGCCTGAGGCTACTACTGTACCTGCCTCTTTTCCCCTTTTTCTTTTATTATGCAACCAGAAATGGGTAAGTTGGTGGTTTAGGTGTAAAACTGTACCATCTTACAGTATTCCAAAACAGTTGATGTGAATACCTATTTACTTTATTTACATAATGGCCAACACTACATTATGCATTGACTTCATAGGTTGTGCCACAAGCAAGTAATCTTAACTCAGAACTTGCTTAATTTTGGAAAGAGTGGATGTTATTCTGAATTATGGAGGTTATACTGTACTGTATACAGTATAATGTTTTCTGTCATGTAAATTACTTTTTTCATTAAAATATTTAACTAAAAAAATCATTAAATGATTCATAATGTTAGTGTTAAGTTAATACTATTAATAATTAGATACAACATCTATAAATGTGTTTGACATAAATCAATCAATCATTGCTTGAGTCAACTTTAAACTGAGTACAGTACTGTAATGTACAGTATTGTAACTAATGCACAGGTCTTACTCTTTATTCCGCAATGCAAAAAAATGACTTCTGATGGCACTGTGATCAAATCTGGCAATGATTCCCATTTCCACTATGTTAACATCTTCATTTGTGAATGGAAAACTTTTTCCTTTCTCTTTTAGATTACCAAGTCACAAGTTAGATAGCAGTATCATGAGAAATAGTTAATTGAAGTACTACAGTATAAGCCAAAACTGTTCAAGAAGAATTTGCTATGTCAGTTGATTAGCCCCTGGAATATACAGTGTACTGTATATGAGTTTGTTTGGTATTATCCAAGTAGTGATACAAACCACCTTTATTACACAATTACCTGCATATTATTAGTCCACTAAGTACCCTCGTTAATTACATGACTGGCAGTTCTCAAGCCTCTTTACAATGTAATTTAGATCATTCTGTGTACCTGTCCCCTCATGTTGCGCTGTGTTCCGGCGAGGGAAGACCATATTTAAGTCAGGCATAGCCATGTAGCTCCCTGCAATGTATAATGGCATAATGGTTTTTGATGGTTTTCTCTTACAATCAGTTTCACTAAAATGAATAAGGAAATGTATTAGTGTCCATCTTGTCTCGCTGTTAGAGGTAGTCTCTTTGTGCACACACTACTTAAATGTACAAAATATTCATTAATTAAGGCAGTCACTATTAGTTTAAACAATCACTATATAATACAGTACACAGAATACATAAAACTAAATATCATACACTCTATTTATCTTAAAATTACATGGATGGAATACTACTATTGTTAATAAGGTGGATAAGCTTTGATTGGTGACCAGCAGGCAAGACAGTGCTCTATCCCCCCCAATTATGTGTCCCAAGATACTGTACAAGCAATTTTAAGAGTGGTCACAAGTGCAGCACCAACCAATAAGTCAGGTCAGTAAAAATTGTAATTTTGAATCCTTTTCCATTTACTCATACAACAAAAAACTGCTATTTAATACTTACTGTGCATGTATTTTTTTTTAAATTACCTTAAAAAATGTAACTGGTGAAAAAAATCAAGGGTAAATGTCAACAAGTGTTGATGAAAGCAAGGTGATTTACCTTGAATGCATAATTATGTTAAATTCTAAATACAGTATAAACTGGATCAGGGGCTACTAAACATGATGAATTTAAAAAATAAAGGAATGATACTTGAAATCCCATTTCATGGCAGAGAAGATGTACCATTGCCAAGCACATCACCTGCAGATTCTGCTACTACCCATAAGGTGTACAATTTTTTAAAACGGGAGCTATTTTCATAGCACAAAAATGTATTTCTGCAATCAATCAACATATTGCAGCTTCCCCACCCAGTAAAATCAATACAAATCGAATGACTGTTTCAGTGATCTGAGGGATGGATGGGTCATAATCTGAATGCCACAGCTCATTTACTAGACTCCCTGAGAGCATACAGTAAAATGGCTTACCCTTTGTATCATCACATCTTAGTTTCATTTAACAGTCAGTCAATATTATTTTCACATCATGTACAGATCCGTCCATGAAAATATTAAGTAACAAGGATAACACTACACATGCTTGATGCACTCCTCCAGTTATTTCATATCACTGTACGTATTCACTCATACCACAGCTTCTTCTCATGAACGTTTATTAAAAGGTTCTTGAGTCTTTAATAAACTTATGCATCCCTATACAATGTCAGTGTTTCCCACAGGGCTCTCCTATGTACCTTACCATGTACAACCTCTAATTCCATGAAAGGATGAATTACTTTCTTCATTTCTTGGCTTCTCTCCATTACTTTTCTTAGAATACACATTTGATCAAGATATTCTCTTCCTGTATCAAAACCCCTTGTACCTGTACCTCATCTATTAATCATTCTGTAATTATTTTTACATAATCAAATCATACCAAGCTTGAAAGACTACCGGTAATCACTCCTAATTTCTTCAATTTGTTTTTGATACAGTACTGTTGCCTTTACATAAAGGCCAATCAAATCATGAGAATCAAGATTGGGTTGCCAGATGTCCTAAATATAAGACACTGTCCCTTATTTCAATGCCTTGTGTCATGCCATGTATTTGAGAGGCCCTAATACAGTACAGTATTTAAAAAAAAAAAAAAAAGCCGTTTTTTTCTAAAAACCAGTTTTTGTGATATGATCCAGAATGCGAAGCTTAGCTTTTAGCCTAGGTATGTTAATGCCCAGCAATAACTCGCCAGGCCAACATACGGGCAATTAAAACATCTAATAATTACTTAATAAGTAATATTAGGAGGACACGTCGCTACCTGGCATTTAATTGCAATTGTCGAAACCCCTTCCTTCACCCCCCATCGCACACACTGCCACCTTCATCTCTTGCCTTAGAGCGAGCAGTAAATAAAAGTCAACTCTCGAGGGGTGGAGATGGGTGGGTTATCAGCGTCGCATTCCGGATCATATCACAAAAACTGGTTTTTAGAAAAAACCGGCTTTTTGTTCAATCTCAGAATGCTACGCTTAGCTTTGAATACCCGGGCAGGAGGTGGAGAGGGAGGTGACTTGCATACAAGGCTCCGCTAACTTAGGTCCAGATTATGATTATAAACCGTGTAGAAAATTTCCAAAATTAGGAACATTTACCGGAAGGTAAAATGTTAATTTACATATCTCAATTAGGACTCACTTTATTATGGTGATGAAGAAGATTTCCAAAAGCCCATTTCCTTGACCTAACTGAGGCTTATATGCCACAGAAAGGCCACAGACCCTGCGTATTTCCTAGTGTTATGTGCCAAAAATTTCTTGCCAGAGTCTGCTTGATTCACTAATTGAGATAAAGATTTTGTCATTTGACTAAAAGACAATTTCTTACCATCCCTGGATGAAAAACATAGGGGCCTCGATTAGGGAATCTGGATAACCATTCTTGAAGATTTTAAACTGGGCACAATATATGAGGAACTCTTGTCTCATCCATTAGAGAGAGAGAGAGAAAGAGAGAGTAGCAGCCTTATCACAGTACAATCTCACATTGTCTCTCGCCATCATAATAGCTTTATTTACTCCTAGAGTACATGACAGAATAGTTGAAACTACAGTATGTAAGAATATTACTATTTTTGAAGTGATACAGGGTTTAGTAGTTTGACTTTGCTAGACCACCAAGAATTTTTCAGTGGCAATAATATGTTTGGTGCTCTTCTGATAATCACAACCGATAGCAAAGTCCCTCATCATATATCCCTGAATTTCAATTACCAAAATACGGGATGCACCGGACATAAAGAAACCACTTGTTATGTCACAGAACTATTTCTGGAGTGTCATGACAGTCTGACTGACAACACGCAGCTGAAGGTGAAGTAGTTATCTCATGTGGTTGGAGAAAGGCTGAGTGATATGAGATGTAGTCATTGACTCTGAACTGATTAGGCAAACTGGTCTGTAAAACATCCACCAGATCCATATGGATTCATAAGAGATTTGATTGTGTGTGAAGGTTGCTGTGCACACTGTTTGTATCAATACATTATTAACCTTTGGCTGTGGCTTGCGGGAAATTTATGAACATCATATACACGTACACAATATTCACGAATAATGAGAGTTCTTAAAAATATCTATTTTCATCTTTCCAAAATGCATGCAGGCCAATGGGAAATGAGACTAAATCATTTGTATAGTTTGGTTTAACAGTGGTCAAGAGCTCCTCTTTCACACAAAGTGGATGGCCCGTCACTAGGATATGGGGATCAACATATGTCTTCCGTGATGACAGTGTGTGTGTGTAGTGAGGTGCTTGGAGTCCAGGCTGTGGTGTAGGGGGGACCTAGAGGCTGACGGGACAGTCTATAAACACATCACTGGGAGCACAATTTAAAAAAAAATTATGCTAAAATGTTGGCAGCCTGCTGGCTTATCACAACCTCAGTTGCAGCTCACTCTACTGGCTTTTTGCAGTTATAGGGTTATTAAGGCAATGCACCCAGCAGTCAGAAATTGAAAGCATTACAGGTAAAAGATGGCTTTACCTGTGACATATTTAGCAGTGGTAAGTACTACATCTTACAGGTGTCTTGGGAGGATCCCCAAGAATACATATAATAATTAAAGAAATAGTTTCCAATTCAGAATTTTTGTGAACCACATATCGTAATTTGATTGTTTCATGGGGTAATTTTCAAATGATGAAAATGACAAGCATTACTAAGTGACTATCTGACCAAACACCTGAAAACAGGGAGAAGTAAGACTCAAGGAAGATGATGATATTATGGTGGTTAGGAATAATAATGGGGACAACTTATGGTTATATGAAGGAGCACTTGAGGTAATGCAACAAGTACACGAAGGAGATATTTGCAGAACTGTTTATTACGTACAGTATTAATATTGTGAAGATGATCGTGTGACTGGTTCACTGTGACATTGCATTGGGTAAAGCCTGTAGGTTATACTGTACATGGTTAATATATTAATATTAAATATATAAAATATTCAGCTTTCGTCATTAATAACGGAAAGGCCATGTACAGTCCCCTTCACTAGGGCATTTAAAGGGGCTCATCAGGTTTTGTGCAGTGTGGCAGCCCTGTGTTTGTTTACATTCGACAGAAGGAAACTAGCAATAGTAAACATACTGTGGAATAAAATTAGAACAATATTAAAACAAATACCTTAATAATAATGATTTGTAAAATGTTTATATGATGAGCCCCTGTAAATGCACTAGTGAAAGGGACTGTACATCACTGTACATTACTAAAAATACTGCATAAAAATTTTCTGACATGCTCTCCATAAAATAATTCACAATAATAATTGTGATTGATACTAAAGCTTTTACTTATTGCGATGAAAAGATATATAATTACTACACTGTGTGTCTTTGTGCAGTCTCCATGAAAATGAATTTGCGGAAGTCAGACTTATATTTTATTCCAAACTATACACATATACTCTACAGTGAAATACAGTACAGTATACTGTACTTATTTACAACCCAAACAGCTAAAATAATTGAAAATGGGGAATAATTGTTTACTTACGTAAAGATTGAAACTTTGACTTGAGGTGTTCGGTGGGTAGATTTAGTGATCGTAAGAGGAAGATGTAAGCATACACTAAGAATATTATTGATCCGATGTACAGGAACAAGTAGAATCCCTGAAAGATACAAATATATCAAACTGGTCAATGTAAGGTTACAAACTTCACACAAGTTTCCAAGCACAGTACAGTACAGTACAGTAACATCTCCCTGTCTAAAGCAAAATATATAACAATATATTCACTGACAATCAGTTTCATAATAAATGATCAAAATTGCAAAACAATGATCCCCAGCAAAGGTGTGATTCAAAAGTGATTGTCTAAATGTTCAAATAATAATTTGTACCCTATTTTGAATAAATTGATGTTTTATATCTGCTCAAGCAATTTGCATGAGCATGTAGTGGAAAAATTAGGTAAATTCTTCTGGCAGGCATCTTGGATATGCTTGCCATCTTGAATGTACTGCACTTTCCTGCTGCCAGGGAAGTGAGAGGAACACCAGTCCCCCACATGTCTCTTATTATGCTCAGACTATGAGTATATACTCAACATTGTATCCCATGTATTTATACTTCCATGCTGTGCTTGTGCCTTTTCTGTACTAAGAGTGCTGTATAATGTAACCCAAGGGGCCTACACAGCACTTCTGGTGATGCTGTAGCTACCACGAAATCGAGAAATATTTTCAATGCGGACACAAAGAAATCCACCTGCCTATTGCATCACCATGGCCAGCTACTGCATCTCCTGCCTTAATAGTGGGGTTGGCAGCACCATGGTTTGTTACAACATTTGTAAAAAGCGATTTTTCAATGTGGTCATATAGGTTTTGACTCGAGGAACATGAATCTGAAGATGTTCCCAAATAAGGTCACCAAGGTCATATTATGTCATAACCTGAAACAGCAACGGAGGATGTCATAAAGACCACCAATTGGCCAAATATTATAAACTAAAAATTTAATTCATGCAAAACTATACATTTCCGATGGAAACATTATACTGTACAATAAATTATTTTTATTTTTTATTTCTCTATCTCCCCAAATATGACTCAATTTTCAGGTGCCTGGTGTCAACTTCTAAATAATGACTGAGTAGCCGAGCCCTAAGACAGAACATATGTACTTACCCAATCTGTGAGGAAAGGTTTTCTTCCCACCTGGAACCCTCAATGAGTCAAGTGCGAAATCCCTATCCCTTGGGTTGCTATCATGCTAAATACCTGACTAACACACACATCCCTACCTCAGCTATTGCTGTATGGTCCAAAGACAGACGTACAATTCTATGGCAGTTTTCATGTACAGACATCTACATTATGGACAAAGGATGCTATTCCCAACCTGATAACTTGTGTTTGATATATGATCTTTGATCACTTTGACCAGAATATGTTGACGAATTTAAATTTTTTTTTAACTTAGTACTGAATATTATCAGAAAGGATATACAATGATATATCATCACTTACCATCTAAGTCCAAACCAACAAGTGGTCACCATAACAACTGATCGATGACCCAAAGAGATATAAGATATTGTCTCATACTGTACTGTACTCAAATATTAACCTAACATTTTCAATATTCTTCATAAAATGTGTTCCCTTTTACTTACATTATAGAAGGAAATGGGAATGTCATGTGAGATGACCTCAGCTATAGGAAAGGCCATACCCATCACCACCAGCAGCTTACCATACAAGGCACTCAGGCACGCAATGAGAGAATCACTGAGAAGAGACACATAAGACATGACATTTTTTACATAAATGCAATGGGGAAAAATATGTGAAAACATCAAATCTGTATTGTTGATTCAGGTTATAGTTCTTTAAATTAACATAAAATAATATAAATTCACTTCAACTAAAATTAAAGTAACATACAGTACAGTATTGTTTTTAATGCAAACTACTCAGATATGTTAAAGTTCTACACCAAAGCTCCAAGATCAAGCACTATGAACTCACTTTCCTTCCTGTTTCCAGTCCAACACAGACGGTGCCAAACTGTTCCGTGAGCTAGAGCGGCGAATGTTGTTAGAGGAGACGGTACGTTGTAGGTTAGTTTGACTGCCACCCAGGCGCTGGTACATCTCATTCATGGAATTTCGACGAGTTTTTCTGTATGTACCAAGATCGATTGATGGGTGGCGACCATCTGGGAGGTCCAACGTGGTCATATTTAACCTGTAGGGCATACAATTAGACTAACAATGACTACAGTACTACAGGAGCTTTGGACTACGACAGAGTAACTTGAGGATGACAGAAGTTAGTTTCAGTTAGTACAATGTTATGACTACAGTACAGTACTGTACCGCACTTCTAAATACCTGGTAGTGTAACGCAGAAAAAACTATTACCCAGGGCGTGAAATTTAAAGGCTGTAATGCTGTGCTTAGAACTCTCCATCCCCCAAAAAAAAAATCCACTGATTTCTTGAATCTCAAAATGTTCATTCACAAGCTGGGGTTCTCTACTTATACTCGCAGGTCAGCAAGATCATTTTTCAAAACTGTAACCATTAAATAAAAATAATCCATTGACTGGTAATGTATAAAGTATAGTCTGGATTTATGCGGTTTTTGTTTACACGTTTGGTCATTTACGCGGTGCCTTGCCAGAATGAAATGTTTTAATTACGCAGTAAATTTCATCATTTACGCGGCGAGCGGCTGGAGAGGTCCAGACACACCGCGCTATTTTTTACTCACACGGTCCATTCTTGACCATACACGGGATGCAGCGCGATGAGGGGTGCGCATTAGGTCGCTCTTACGTTATCGCTGAAGTCATATGACGTATCGGACTGTGATTGGGCCACGCATCCTTACCACTCACGCATTCCCTCCGCCGCTAGCTGTGATTGGTCTAATGTAACATGACGTGCCCTGCCACCAGAAGTCGCTGACCTAGCTGGGCCAGTCTCATTGTTCTCAGTCCGCGTATACAATTCTCTCTTGTGCCCGCTATTCCCCTCACAATGGCTTCCGCTGGACCCCCACCACCCCAGAAAAACCTTGAATTACCTGGACCAAGCCATGATTATGTGAAGGAAATCATCGAGTTGGGGGAGAAAATTAAGCTCATCCTTGACAACGACCCAGACAAGCATCAGTATGAAGTGTCTAATAACCATCTGTCGAAAGTAATGGAGCCGTATATCCAGATCTATCACGACAACATCAATGCTAGTCGTCAACGTAGTATTAAGGACTTCTTCACCCGCAACCCACCACAACCACAGCCAGCCCAAGTCAGTGATAGTGACAGTGAGGATATGGACTTTGAGGGGTTTGTCTGGGAGGCCCTACAAACCTCTGCGAATAGTGAAAGTGATTCACCGGAGGGCAACTAATCTGCCCTCTGCCTCGGAACCAGCCGCCATCCACGTGTGCCGACCCATCTCTTCTACTAACGTAAGTGTTAAACACCTTTAGATTTGTAGTTTTTTTATTTAGATATTATGTGTGTAGCAATACCATCATAAAATTATGATGTTATTTTTACTACAACGTACGTATTGTGTCGGAAAAAGTGGAGTTTGGGAGTCGGCCCAATCTCTATTTCAATTAATCCCATATGTTCTGTTATTTTGTTTACACGCGATTGACCATGTAAAGGTAGATAGACACTTGGTAGACAGACAATGAGGACAATACTCGCAACCCAAAATGCCTCCCAATCACCGTCAAAAAAAGTTGAAGATAAATCGTTTTCAAATAAAGAAAAAAGGGCAATATTACATGGGTTCATGGGATGAGGGAAATATATGCTTCATCCTTTTGCTTATTATGTACAAGAACTAACATATCTAATACATTCTTAAACAACCATTGTGTAGTTATAGTAATCCAATCATCTTACCCAAAAGCATACATACCTTGATTTTTCCGTGTAAATTATTCGAAAAATATTAAGGGTTAAGTTAAAAAAAAATTAGGGGATTTTAACGTTAAACCAGGACGATGGTGTAGGAGGCAGGAGCTGGAGGCGACGGTGCGGTTACGTTGTTGGAGTTGGGAAACGTGAGGGTTATTACACTGGGAGAGAATAGTCCTTAGTAGATAGTGAAACATAAACCAGGAAACAACGAACATACACGTGTTAAAAAGGTGCATCAAGTTGTGTGTTTAGTAAGTGTACACAATCAAGTGTACTAATGTATCGAAGTTATATAAATAAGTGTGTAGTTAAGGTAGTAAGATAGTGTACAATAGTGGTGTTCGGGTGTGTGTGTTACGTGCAGTAGTTGTACTCGTGTGTTATGTGTTTATAAATTATCGTGTTAAAGGTATCAAGAACAGTACTCACGGTTAGTTAGTGTAACTTCAAAACATAGTACAATATAGTGTAACAATAGGTACATGGGGGTGTGTAATAAAGTAGTACTCAGCAGTACGAGTGTGTTATAGTGTAACAATAACAGTACTCATGGGGGTAGTGTGTTGTAGTGTATCAATAACAGTACTCACGGGGGTCGTGTGTTATAGTGTAACAATAACAGTACTCATGGGGGTAGTGTGTTGTAGTGTATCAATAACAGTACTCACGGGGGTCGTGTGTTATAGTGTAACAATAACAGTACTCACGGGGGTAGTGTGTTAAGTGTAATCAGAACAGTACTCACGGGAGAGTCGTCAGCTCCAGGGTTCTCATTGTTGGTGGGGACGTCGTTCGTCTCGTCTTCGGTGGAGACGACGATGTGCGGGGTGGTGGGAGAGCCTGGGATATTGTTACCTGCAGGTCCGTCGCTCGACTGGCCCCCGTGCACACCCACCCATCTGAAATGCACAAAAGAAAACTCCATGAATACTGTACCAAACTGTCGATCGCACACATCTTGTCATAAGTTGGACTGTGACATTAGAACCTTGTAGGTTACGAGTGAAGACCTTAAGATTAAAATTTAATAACTACTTCTTTGTTTTGGGTTAGCTAGCTTAAACTATATAGTATTAAATTTCACGTAAATGTTTCTTTTGACCAGATGCTTTTGCAGTCTTCCGAATTTGGTTAAAATGGGTATGTGGGGTGAGGTCTCTTTAGGATAATATTTAAGTGTGTGTGTGTGTGTGTGTGTGTGTGTGTGTGTGTAGGGGGTAATAATGAAGGGCAACATTTAATGGAGTTTAACAGTAAATTATACGCCCACTGGGGTGCCAGAACTGATATCCTTTAGGTTGTACAAGAGAGGGAGAGAAGATTGCAGTTGTCTCGTCTCAACTATGGAAGAGCACCGAGATTATATTTGGATAGACAATAATTGGGGTTACATGGTAGGAAGTTTTAACCATACATAAACTGGTGAGGGGGAAGGCTAACACATTTATCGACACAATTTAGTAAACCATGAAATATTTACATATTTGATCAATGACTCAACCGTGGGTGTGAATACCCCATTGTTTCAGCTACAACTCATATTAGATGAAGGGACATATGCCCCCAAACGGATGTCACAGAGTCCAGTACCAATGGTTCCCGATAACTTACCTGTTTTATGACAGAGAACAGACATAATAAGAGTGAGAGAGTTCATTTCAGTTTCCACCTTAGGACCAGTTAAGTGACAATTAACTTGTCGTCGAGGTTCGTTTAGACGGGGGGGTGAGGACACGGAGACAAAAAACTACCACATGTGACCAGTTCATGATACCCTAGGCCTACCTAGAGCAAGGTGCTGCACACCCATCACCGCTCCTCCACGCATTAACATTGCAAAGCATTACAGTATAACCCATGTCTTACAGTGTAGGTTGTCAGCCTCCTGGTGTTATGATTATGCATTACTTGGATTGGGTCCGACTAATTACCCAAATGTACCTAAATGTAGCCGCACTGAAGTCAAATAATGGTCCTACATGAATAAATCGGGTTACCAATCACTTCTCGACTAGTATTTGGTGTCACAAAGTAAAAAAAAAATTGGAAAACGTAATTTAATTTGAGTCAATAGATCGAGTGCATGTACCAAACCTAACCTCGACTAGTATTTGGTGTCACGAAGTCACAAAAAATTGGAAAACTTAATTTAATCTGAGTTAATAGATCAAGTGCATGTACTGTGAAGTTTAACAAATATACATAAACTGAATGAAAAGTTATCATTTAAATATGAGTTTAACTCTTCAGTGACCTTGGCCTTGCAAGGAGACTTTAATATAATGTTAGATGCGTCATCGAGAGAGAGAGAGAGAGAGAGAGAGAGAGAGAGAGAGAGTGTGTGTATTGGCTTAGTTTATTATTATACGCACTGTCTTGTCGGGGTTATAATAGAGATAGACTTAACCCTGATTGCTATGGGTTCCCATCAGCTGAATAAAATCCTTCAGAGTCCTTCATTGCACGCAAGGGAGGTTAAAGGTCTTGTCCTGGCAAAAATTCCCTCTTGATTACGGAGTCACAAACAGATGAGGGAGGTGGAGCCAACCTAGTGTGTGTGGCATCAACAGGGGCACCATAACAATGTTTATTACTGTCTCTGTTATCACTCTCCTTCAAGCTTCATTATCCTGATGTATTGGATTCCCTTCTCAGCTTCAGCATTTAATTAATATCGATTACTTTATCTCCTCCATTACTTCACTGTCCCCATGTTTTAGCGAGTTAATTCACGTCCTCATTCACGGCTTTCGTCTAGCTACCTTCACCTCTTTACCTTCCCTATCATATTATCCTCACTATCAGTTGCCTCCTCCTTACTCCTGGTTGGAAAGGTCACTGTCTACAATTTTTTTTTTATCGGGCACTCCCCTACATCCTTGTGTAAGGTGAAGTGCAGAAGCGTTTACAGCGCCCAACAGGGAAGCATGCTAAGTTCATGCTTGCCTTATGTCTCATGAGTTAAGGGCGTAGAACCCACTTATAAGTTATTCTTGCGTGGGCATCAGTGACCCTCACCTTTACCCTTTGGTCTTAACAGCAATCTTCGTCCCCATCACGGCGACTAGGAACTTGGGTCACTGTCCGATTCTTATAATACTAGTCATGGTGTGGTGACGAGGCGTCTTCAGGAAAACAGACACACGAACCTTCCTCTACTAACTCGTGGCTACAGCAGAGGTGTGTCTGTGAACCTCTGATGTAGCGTCACTGTACAAAAAAACAGTGACAGTGATATATATAACCCGTCGAGGAGGACTAGCAGCAGGAGGTGGTAAACAACAAACAGTATAAAAACTAACCAAACACCTTTGAACGATAATGAGACAATCCGGGGAGGCATGTAAACACAACACAATATCACCGGACAACAAAAGTGTGTTTCTTTATCTTTACACGGGCATAACGTGAGTGTCTGCTGCTGGTACACAAGTGTGAGCCTACACTGCCCGTAGACACGTCCTGTACAAAACAAATTACTACGCAATTTGACCCATAGATGAGTTCTTCAGTGTAGGCGGCTACGGTCAGATGCTGGTGACAGTCTTGTGGTAGGGACTCCATATCGAATATCAGAATCACTGGTAAAGGCACTCTACTGTCTCAGCCCAGGAACGGTCTAATACACTACTGAGCATATTGATTCTTTAATACTATCATCAGAAGCAGAGCTAAAATCAGAAGTTTAGTTAGCGGGCAGTTTACCTGTATATAAATACTAAGGAGAACAGTCTGAATAACAAGATTGAAAGAGTGTACGGGCCAGTAGCACGGTGACGCCTTGAGCGTGAAGGACGAGCTTGTCCGAGGTCCTGCTTGACATGCCAGTGACTGGTTACAGTACCAGGACGGGCGTTTTTCATTTGAAAGAAAATTTCAGTTTGCTGATCTTTCATTAAAGCGATATACTGCTACTTCATTTGGACATCAAAATGGGTCCCATAGACACGACTGCCAGTTAGGGACAGTGTGGATACAACACACTGTATACTAAACCTTCGGTACACAAGGAAGCATCGGCTCTTCCGACGAAGGCAACAAGCCTCCAAAATAACGGGTCACTTAAATTATACGATAAATTCAGAAATGGTTGTCGTCCAAGAAGATAAAAAAGAAAAAGAACGAAGTCATGATTATATTTTCGCAGACGCTATCAGGCAGATAAAGTCTAGTAATATTAAGTGTAATGAAAGTTGGGTCACAGCAGTACAGACAGTGGACTGAATAATTAGTCTTTGGACAATAAGGAGGGACAGTGGCGATCACTATCAAACCGCCTTCATTTCCCTAACTGTAAAGTGAAGCACCCTTTTAGATTTTTTCTTTTAGATTGTCCCCGCATGGGGGCTAGTTTATTGGGCACCCCCTTACATCCTGTACAAGGTGAAGCGCAGAAGCGTTTACAGCGCCCATCTGGGAAGCATGCATAGTTCATGCTTGCCTTTATGACTCATGCATTAAGGGCGTAAAAGCCTGAAGGGTCATGGGTTTTGACAGCAAGTTGCGTTAAGTGACAGAATGATGAGTGTGTGGGGGGAAAATTCCCGGTACAATTTATCTGTTTATGGCAAAGCATGGCATGTCCCGAATAAAGTCAAGTGCCAGGCCATAGGCTGGTGAACTGAGAGTGCTCTGGGCGCAGATCAGTGATTCTTATGACGAGAGGCGAGCGATCCAATAAGATACAGATTAGAAACTTCTTTTATGGACGGCCCAGTAGTGAACTATCGTGAAAAAAAAACTATAGGTTAATAAAGTAAAACGAGTTTTAGCTATCTTATGTTAATAAATTACTTGAACATGATGTGTTAAGTCTGACCACAGACATAAGAGTACTGCACAGGGACATATTATAACGCAAATATCATATAGTAACGTAGACAATACATATTATAACGTAGATAATGGTTGCCCCTCGTGTTCGAGGATGACCGGCCCAAGGGCCACCTAGGCGTGCATTAGTTTATGGTGTGGAAGCTGTCACCAACACAACAACGACACCCTGAGTTAACGAGTTGCATGACCAAGGGCCAAGTAATAGTCCGAGAAGACCGGACAACTCACCAACCGCACTGGCTTGCCATTACCCACAAACACGATCCGCAAATCGTTTAATATCCAGGTCCCCCAATTACTGCTGGGTAGACAAAGAGGAAAATGGTGTAAAGAAACTTGCCCAGAGTTTCATCCTGCCCGAGGATCGAGCCAGGGTCCATTCGCTTGAGAAACGAGCATGTTGACCATTACACCACATCTCGCCATATATCGTAAAGTAACGTGGAGAATACATTTTAGAGTCACGCAGATGATAAAACAGGGGTCATACGTCTAAATGTTCACCCACGTGACTGAAGCTTTATTAAACTGTACACCAGACATACGCGCGACACATGCATGAAAACTATTGTAACCAGACATTAACTCACAATATTTACACCAACATCATTACTCTCAACATATATCAGTGTTACTATAAATGTACTATTGTTATTGATAATGCATAATATAATAACAATTCGTGTATTATGTGAAAGCATTACAATCTGGACAGTAACATCTGCCTCGTACCGTAGATTACATACACACACACACACACACACACTCAGTAGCACCCAGGCCGACAAAAGCAACATTACCTTTCTGCCTCAGCACACAGGATACAGCTGCCCGGCAACACCTCGTCGGGGCTGTGGTAGTGCTGGAAGTGTAGTGGGGTTGTACGCTTCTTGAAGCGGAACATGACGCACGTACAGTATTCCCGGGCACTGTGGCGAACTCACACCACTTATCGGGAGACCTTCACAAAGTGGCCCACTTATCGGGAGACCTTCACAAAGTGGCCCACTTATCGGGAGACCTTCACAAGCTGGCCCACTTATCGGGAGACCTTCACAATCTG